AACTCCTCGAACACAATAACATCCATAGAAAATGAACTCTACAGTAGTTATTTATTGAAAAGATGTTAAAGTTCCTTCAATTCATCTTACTCCTCGAACACAATAACATCCATGGAAAATACAAAGAACTCTATAGTAGTTATTTATTGAAAAGATGTTAAAGATCCTTCAATTCATCTTACTAAAGAATCCTATCTCATTCTTGATTTTACCACTCCATATCAAATTTTAAATTCAAGGCATTTGTAATTTGACCATACATACATTATGGTTGAATTATGTTTTAACATATCGCTACAATTGGAATCATTTTATGTAGGTGCCAGTGATTATGGTATAAATATTTTGCTTATCATTGATAAAGAACATACTCTGGAGTCACTTTGATTTGACATTCAGTCTAAAGTTTACAACTTTTGACTGAAGTTCCAGAATCTTTTTTTGCAGTTTTGCACCTAAGACTAATCGATGGTCCTCATATCTTTTAAGGAACACGTTAGTGTCACTGTTACTTAACATATCTATCGGATTATCCCTTCAATATTCATGTCTTTGATCTTATCTACTGGACATATCAGTTATTAGATGCTGTTTGCTAACCTTTGCATCCCATTCAGGTGCACTTTTCTGATACTGTCTGTGAAAAAATGCACTAAATTGACTCTTTCAATTTTTCAGATCATGCTATTAAGGAAGAGTTTAATTGCAATATACTGCATCACCTGATCTTTGTCAATTTAAGCCATTACAAATTACAGGTATATAGTGTATCAATGATGCACATCATCAAGGCTGGAATTAACGGGCAGGTGTCGTAACCTGGTTATAGGTTACCACAAAATACAGGATGGTAATCTAACAGGTTACTACACAGGTTGCCTGAAAATGGTTTATGGTAACCCATCAGGTTTTCTGCTATGTATTGTATTATTGATGAGAACGTCTATGGTAACCTGTGCGGCTGTAGTAATTGAGGAGTAAAATATCATAATTTAATAAAATTGAGAAATTAAAGTCTTTTTTCTTTGTTTTGTTGTAATTTATATAATATTTAACATGAACATAATTTTGTAACACAAACTGAATATGTATCAATTCTTTCGCCCATGCATGTAGACCATCAGATTTTACATGTCTGTAATAATATATGTTGCTCATGTTTTTGTAGTTAACAATATCCACATACGCAAGCAATGAATCAAAACTTTGACCCGTCACATTTCATTGTAGTATTAGTACGTACTACATATCTCACAGGTAACTTTTTTCAGTTTATTGTCATCGTCCACCTCATCCTAAAAGTCATTGTTGAAATCCCACGACAAACATCTTCAAAGCAACTGTCTCGCGGTTTAGCATTGAGAGAGAGAGAGAAATGGGGTTTAACGTCCACTCGGCACAAACTAGGTCATTTCGGGACTTACACAGGGTTCAATTTTATTTCAATAATTCGCTTCCGCGTAGGGGTCTTTAGCAGTGGGAGGAAACCGGAGGACCCAGAGAAAACCCACGAGGTTGACAGACGACCCTACTCCTTGTCACGTACAACCGGGGAATTGGTTTAGCAATGTCTTTCGGATTATTTTTGTAATGTGTCAGACAATTATGTCTTGTACAATGGCATTATAAAGCTAAATAGTGCAAACAAAGAATCAAACTTCCAAATTCCAATGTATGCTTAAAAAAGCCTACATAGGATGCTAACATCAACAAAAATAAAGCACTTGTATTAAGGTAAGAACATGTACATTTATCCTATTGAAACAGACTTCTAAATGTTTGTTTAATCATGGTTTCATACAGTAGATTGGGTGCACGTTCTGATCATGTGATTCTTTGATTTAGTTCATGTCCGTGTAAAAATAACCCACCATTTCGTAAATTGATCAATGAAATAATAAGAAAAAAGTAAATGTAAAAGGAAACATGAAGTAAGGTGGAATGCCAATAATTGTTATCTAATACACCTTGCTTTAAGACAAGACTAAAAGCAACCTGCCATCTTTAACTAGCTTACATTGGAACAACTTCCAAGACTCTGACACAGAACAAAAGCGCTGGACCATCGTCTCTCAGCTGATTAGCACACTTAGCCAATAAAACAAGCTGTTACATAAGGTAGCCTCCAGCTGCTGGTCGATCAGTTGAATACTACTCATTGTAAGTTTAAAGGTAGAGGATGTTATACAGTTACTGATTGGGTCAAACAGGTGGCTTTATCATCCTCTTGATAAAATAACTTGGGATTGAGCAGCGCACATATTACTTAACTTTCAGGTGTAATACCTTTCAATTTGAGCTAAATTCAGACAATCATACCCACTGTTGATAAATATATCCTCCAGGAATAGTAACATTCATTAACTGTGGCTATTTTTGGGCTGTTTTTTTTTACTTTGGGTTGTAAGGAGATACTTAATTCACACTGCAACTATTCTTCTATTAAACAACATACTGCGGAATGCTGTAATAAGGAATGAAAGTCATTTTCTCTAGAATGCAACCTATTTAATAGCTTCGCATATCATTATAATAATGAATGAATGAATGAAATGGGGTTTGAGTACGGGCATACGCCATGCAGTGTGCTAAGAGGGAAATTCCACCCGAACAGCACTTGAATTCCGTCTGTCCAGTTTTGTTTTACATGCCCACCATTGAAATACGCTATATCCTACCAAATGCATACATTATCCTAACTAAGAAGTAGTTAATTATACCAGAAAATATCTTGTTTTATATTTATACCCAATGTATAAAATTAAAGATAGGTTGCCAGGCAATGAAATATACACCCACAGCAGCTAAGTCATCCAGGCAGTCAACAAGAGTTTGCTGGTAATGAAACATTTATAATACACTAAAATCTGATTAAGAGTAACTTATCAGAAAACCATTAGAATTTGTTTGGCTTCTAGTTCTGTCCATACATGTACTAATGTTTAGTATACAAAACATTTAATATCGTGGATTTAGCTGTTCAAGTTATCACAAATCATTGAAAATCAATAAACTTGTTCATTTCAAGACCTAAAACTCTGTGTGTCAATCTAAAGTCAATCGAATGATCACTTTAGCCTGTAGAGCATCCACAAGATTTCTCGAAGTAAATCATGGGTCAAACTCTGGCATTAATTATCAGAAATCATTGAAAATCAATATGCTTCTTCATTTCATGACCTTAAACACTGTGTATAAATTTAAAGTCAATCTGATATTAACTTTAGATTCAAGAGCGTCAACAAGATTTTTCAAAGTGATCAAGGGCTATAACTCTGGCAGTAACTATTGAAAACTGAATATGTATCAATTCTTTCACCCACGCATGTAGGATCATCAGATTTTACATGTCTACAATAATATACGTTGCTCTTGTTTTTGTAGTTAACAATGTCAACATACGCAAACAATGAATCAAAACTTTGACCGTCATATTGCTTCGTGTCATTTTTCATTGTAGTACTAGTACATACTACATATCTCACAGGTTACTTTTGTCAGTTTATTGTCATCGTCTTCAACACAACCGCCTCGCAGTTCAGCAATGTATTTCGGAATATATTTGTAATGGGTCAGACAATTATGTCTTGTACAATGACATTATAAAGCTAAATAGTGCAAACAAAGAATCAAACTTCCAAATTCCAATGTGTGCTTAAAAAAAAGCCGCATAGGATGCTAACATCAACAAAAAAAAATAAAGCATTTGTATTAAGGAAAGAACATATAAATTTATCCTATTGTCTTTATTTTACTAAAGATTATGAAAGTTCTATCAGAAATTATTCTAATATTCATTAGGTTTCTTTGTTTCACTAATTTGAAAAATGCATATAAATTCCATTGGGTTCCTCCATAAGGAGACCTGAACAGATGTTATGACAATATTCCACAACAGCAATGACACAAACTGTGAACAAATAACAATAGGTAAACAAATAAATGTGTACAAATTGTTAACCATAAGGAATTCTAACATCTCAAACTTACACCTAATAACAACAATATTGTTACCATATTTGATTAAGAAATCTTAAAGAAACACGATAGACTTATGTAGACAGAATAAAGCTCAATTTCTCACCCTATGGATTAAGGTATTTCTTCATTGATCATTAAAGTCAAAAGTCTAAGTGTAAATAAATCTGTTATGTTAAATATGTAAACTTCAAATTTGTTATTCTGGCTCGAAATATCCACATGTAAAACAATTTCCTTTGAAAAAAGTGCATCAAAAACATTTCTCTCTCGACCTTCTACCATTTTACATAACAAATTATTTGGATGTTCCTATTTGCCCCTGAGCACATTCATGTACATGTATCTGGCAAGAATTACTTTAGTTACAAATTATTATCAAGGTCGATTTCTCATGTAATTTTCTATCAATATAGCACATGTTATTATACTACATTTGCCAACATTCTTTAAGTATAACCCTAGAGGAGTTTTGCCATGATCAATGGCCAAGAAATCTGTTTTAATCAGAACTAGTAGCCAACAGATATATTTTTTCTGATCGACAGTAACAACCATTTCTTTATCCAGTCAATAAATGAATATGCTGACTAATTGTATGGGGAAATCTAAAATAAAAGATAGGCTGCCAGACAACGAAACATAAGCCCTCGGCAGTTAAGTTGTCATAATAGACCGTAAAAGTTGTCATATTGTGATTATTCTAACTGGAACGTTTACAACCTATTCTACTGTGTCAAGGGAAAATTCGATTGGGTTCCTCTTCTTACAATCCCACCATGTTTTACAACATTCTATCAAGAACTTTGTCTTGTATCATATTCACTCTTAAAGGGGGAGATAACTCTAAAATTTACAACCAAATTATCAATCCTAGCAAACATTTCAGATCGTTCACAAAAACAGTTGGAAACCAAAAGGAATGTTTTCATCTTATCTTATAAATGTACAAATGTAATTCTGAAGATACTGTTTGTCCTTTTACCTAAAAAAAAATCTTATAATGAGTAAGTAGTACTTACATCTTTAAGTGTCTTTAATGTCTCCACATACTCCTTTTCATTACGATACAATTCTTCTACTATATGATATCGTTTATCCTGTAAAAGAAAATTATTGGTGAATTTTTATGTGCAAGATAGATATATTATGATGGCATTCAGATTTATCTTCAATAAAAAATTACCCTGTTGTATAGAGCAATGACCTCTCATCAGATTACCCTGTTATATAGAACAATGAAATGAAATGAAATGAAATGGGGTTTAACGTCCCACTGTTCTGCTCTGACCGGTTCATGAAGACGGGCATATGTGAAATTTTGCCCAGACAGCGGCGGTACTGCCTGCTCTTGTATTGAATTCCAACTGCCAAGGGTCTTTTACATGCATGCCAATGTGTTCACGGGACCTTGGGGTTTTTTTTGTCCCATCCGATTGACTAGACAGCTGTACTTGTCCTGCACCACTGACAAGGGGAAAACACGCCGGTAAATCCTGATGAACTTTCTCGGCCAACAATGCAAATGAACCCACAACCTCCAGGCTAGCGAGCCAGCGTCTTGCTCACTTAGAATAATAACCTCTAATCAGATTACTGGTTATACAGAACAATGACCTCTCATCAGATTACCCTATTATACAGAACAATGACCTCTCACTACATGTAGATAACATAGTTACACAGAACAATGATGTCAAATTACCCTATGTAGACCACTGATCTCACATCCAGTTACTCTCTCCGCAATGCAAGATACGCCCACATTTTGCAATAGATGGATAGAAAACAAAGTTAAAAAATAAAAACATGTTTTTTGGTACAATCCATTAAGTTATGGTCTGAAATGAGCAAATACCGAAAGGAACTGGGATCTTTGTGATATAAATATATATTCTATGTTTCATCGAAATTGGACAAAAATTGTGACCACTAGAGAGTATTACATACTTTTACACAGAACAATGAATGACCTTTCCTCATACATGTATTACCATTAACAAAGAGCAACAATACATGTATCTCATCAGATTATGCTGTTATACAGAACAATGATTTCTCATCACATTACCAAATAACAAGGATCTGTTATCAGATTATCAATAAACACTGAAAAACTGATTGCATTATGATATGGAACAACAATTACTCTGATTAATGATTTTACACAGAGTAATGAACACTCCGTAGACTAACCTTTTAGTGTGTGTAATACAGAACAATTATTGATCATTCAGTACAGTCAATGCAATCCTACCACAGAACAATGACCATTTGCACCCAATACATATATATTTGTTTTTAAGTGGTCATATTGCTCTTAATACATTGTTTACAGACACGTTTACATAATAGGTTGGTCAAGTTTATAAAGTTCCAATGGATATAAACTAGGTCATTTCAGGACCAACATATTAGTTCAATTTTATTTCATTAATTCGCTTTCATGTAGGGGTCTTTTGTGGTGGGAGTTAACCCATGAGGTAGGATGCTGATGCTGACCTAATAAATATAAAGGTATTTATTTATTATTTAAAGGTGACGGCTGATCTTGTTAGTTTTAACAACTTGTAGGTGATTAAATATATGTGGCACTGATGGTTGTAGATGCCAATAACAAGTAGACAAACAATTAGGTAATCTCACATAAATGACAGATAATTAAAGACTAAAATGAATGGAAATGTAAAGTGAGGCAATTCTTCACACCCTGATTAGACAAGAAGTTTGTGTCTGCCAGCTCTTCCTTTCGGTCTGCCAGCTCAGTTAGACTTCTATACAGAAGCAAAAATATCTATAACCTGGATTAAAAATAGCTCCATGGTTTGGCAAACAATTTACTGACTTCAATAGTTAACTCTGACAGGCAATAAGAAATAAGCACACACAGAATCCACCCACTACAACATAACCCTTGGCTCATCTTTCAAGTACGCATTAATAAATCTAAGCAACTTCCAGTTCCACAAAGCAGTCAAAATGAAGTATGTACTTACTACAGTAATAATTTGCCACAAGGTAAATTCTACTCTATGTACATGTACTTGTATTCTTAAAGGAAAAAAAAAATGTAGGCACATGTGTGTTATAAGTACATGACTAATTTCTTGTCTGTTAAACCACTCTTTTTTTACGCAGAGAGGAAACCATCTTAATAATAGCGCTGCGAAAAATCTGTGCCTGTGTTAAAGAAATCTAACTGAAACTTATCAAGCCAAAGCTTATATCAGATAGGAATATTCCAAGGTAAACTGGATTGAATGGGAGCTTTTCGGTGAAATGAATACTATCTTTTTTTTTTTCTACACAATTCTCAGGAACAGGAATTCTATAGTAGGGTTAAAATAAGGTGTCAAATTTGGTAGATTTGCTGTGTTATATATACATGTACCAAATACCTGAACTGGAAGGGGGGAAGGGGTATCTTTCAAGGTCATTTTCTACTCAGCTGCAATTCAGAAGGCAACCATTGCTGCAGTTAACAACATGTATAGGGCATGTATCCTGCATAAGACAAGGTGTTCCTTCTCTTCAAATTCTCATTTGAGAGGTCACATGGCTAACGAATTAAACAAATACTCATAAATTCATGACTGATGACTGTTAACAGATTGGCGTAATGTACTATATTATGTTATGTTGCACGATATTCACACTACAAATCTAATCCAATCAACAATTTGTGTTTTCCACTCTGTAATAATACCACATCCCCTACATCAAAAAGAACAAACAAAACAACGGATGGTGTACAATGTCATTTATTAATGACTTAGAAGATGAAATATGATCATAGCAATATACATGTTTAAGTACCCGGTATTTAACATAATATATACAACTAGGAATAAAAATTAAACTCATATTTCAGTCTTAAAACTTTGATTGGGATTAAAAAAATAACAGATGAAAGGCCAAACATAATACTTTCAGTGGTGTCGTTCAGTTTTCACTCAACTAGCATTCAAGTAAAAATTCAGGTGATTTCCAGAGCATTTCATTTAAAAGCAGACTTCAAGCATAGAACTTAAAGGATGTACACTTTTTTGATTTATGTAGAAATAAAGTATTGAATTGTGATGATCCCATGTGTTACATGTATTTCAATTCATGATAGGGTAAACTATATTAATTAGTACAGGAGAACCACACTACACTTAAACAGAAACCCAGAAGACAAACCTGCAGACAAGACACAATGCACAGACATTGTAAGTAATATACCAATAAAAGTACTACATGTATCAACTCATGTGAATGGATTAGGGGGCATGCCTTAAGTGGCCGATACAGTATACAGCTCATGGCTTCACTCAAAAATTGAAAGTTTTTCCAATGGAGGACATTGTCATACAGCTCGATGTTAGATGTAGGGTACCGCAGTCTGTCAAGGTTTGCCGAGTGGACCCAAACATAGTACTATTCTAGTGTATGCCATGACAAAATTATACTACATGTAATACATTATTGATTCGAGGGATTAACTGAAATCGGCCTGGTTACTAAATTCAGTTTAATTTTTGGCTTACTGTGTCAATACTGGAGCACAAATTCAACTTTATTTCAACTGTTATCTTTTGACACATAAAATCGAACGACATTAACAAATATATTTTTAAACCAAATGAAAGAGGCCTAGCCATTTTAAGCTAATGATTTACAACCATATTTGTTCGTATTTTAATAAAGGAGATATGTGCCAAGCACCAGCTTTGAATACCAGTAGCCTATACATTCAACAGCAGTAGTAAAGTGTAATTATTTATATTTATGCGGGGTTGTTTGTTTGGTGCACATCGAGTAAACAAGATGTATAACATGTTGTTTATCTTCATTGATTACTAAGTGAACTTAAGAGAATAATTAAACCAAGTCAGCCTATATAGACATGGCTTTAAGGTCAACAAGATCAATATAATTGGCAGGATTGGCACATTTAGTGTTTATATCCTCCAGGGTGTGATTAGAATCTAGTGAATTGTTAGTGATGGTGTTAATATGAGTTTAATGTTACATGATGCCATCATCTAACATTTATCTTTTCTAATATCAATAAAAAGCTAAGTCTGTATGACTGAAAACATTCAGTATATAATCATTATAAATATATGAAAAACTTAAATGAGATATCCGTAGATAACACAAATAGAATAAGAAGTTTAAATTCAGAACTTTTTATCAGACACTCAACACAAACTAGGTCATTTCAGGACTAACATATGGTTTAATTTTATTTCAATAATTCGCTTGCGCATAGGGGTCTTTAGTAGTGTGAGGAAACCGGAGGACCTGGAGAAAACCCACGAGGTTGGACAGGCGACCCTAATTCTTGTCACGTACAACCGAGGATTCGAAACCACGCCAGTTGACTCAATGACAGGCCTTATGATAACCATTCGGCCATCCAACCCCCCTTATCAGCGTGAGGTATGATCAAAATGGATTAAGGTGTTAACATTCATGTAGTCACTAACTGTGATAACTACATGTATTATCATATTAGAGCAGGAGCCTACAAGGGTCAACCTAGCTGAAAAGATGGGGGCATGACATTTTGGGGCGTGACTGTTAGGGGTAACCCACCGCACAAACTGAACAACTCCAAAGCTGTTTTGGTGGTACAGATTTCAGCTAATCTAGCCTAGCTGTGGTCTGGAAATTAGATAACTCAGGGATACTTCACCACTACAAATGTCTTGCAATTACATAGCTCTGTCAGGGGTATCCCACCCCTAGAAATGTCTGTCAAAGTGTTTTTGTAATACTTGAAGATGTAAGATACACTGCTATATAATTTTCATGTAGTACACTTTTGAGCTAATCTAGCCCAACAATTCACCATCTAGGAGAAAATTAGTACATGTGTCAGCTACATCTAGGTTGCATGACCCCCCTGGGCTCCTGGTACATGTATATATGTAACAGCTACAAGTTAACATCTATATTCAACTAATGATAACTAAATTATATATTATGACGAAACAGTAATATATGTCCATGAGGCATTTAGAGGAGCTTACGTCGCCATTGTGTTCCAATGCAACTATATGCAATTCAGTTTTATCATTGATGCAACTCGATGCCACTGAATGAAAAAGGG